TATTGTGTCAAATACTGTAATATAGGAAGGCTAGATAACGTAAATACTGACTTAAATCCCGGAGCTTTCGCCTTTTTTTTCGTTCAAAAAAGGACAAACATCCGTGTTCTTTTAGGGACTAATCTTTCGGAAATAAACGATGGATAAAGCGAAAAAGTCACCAAACTGAAATGATGTGATGTTATCTAAAATGGAAATTTTAATGCTTTTCAAAAATAACTGCAAAAGTGACAAAACCGCTTATTTATGCATTGCCTTCGGTAACGTTCTGGAATCGCATTGCTCGTATTTAATTTCTAATTGAAGGTTCGGAGGGATAGTCCGCCCGTTGAAAATAAGGGAGACGTTTTCCAATTCATTAACTATAAATTAATCAGCAAATATAGAGGTCAAAGTTGCTCAGTTCCAAACGTCAACTGAAAAAGATTTACGCTTGTATCTCGTGAGTTTAATTTCAGTGCCTCTCTTTTCGCAACGAAATTCTCAAAGGAAATCTGGCCAAGTCCTTACCACGTTACGATAAGGGCGAATGTTATTCTTTCTTCAACCGAATCTCGGGTTTGTCGTTCGAATACTTCAGCGCATTTAATTGATCGTGTCAAGGATTCGGGGAGCCCTTTTGATACAATTCCGTTGAAAAGTTTTAACCGTACTTAAAACAATAGCCGTACCAAAAGATATTTAGACAAGTTAATGAAAACAGATTGAGTTGAAGGAAAACAAGATTGCGAACGCTCCCTGTAGGGCAAGTACCCAGTACTGCTTGGATGAGTGGATATGCGTAATTTTGTTGTTTTAACATCACAGTCGAAACGCTACGTCTCTAATTTGCTTATCCATAATGAGAAAAAGAGTAAATCAAACGAAAGTGTATTTCGGTGTTATTTGGGGCATTCAAATTTGTATAAGTAAATATAATTAAAATTTTAGCAGACGGGGCATGAAATTAAATATTGACGTTGCTAGCCTATGCTATTAACAAAGCGGTAGTTAAGATGTATTTGAGGAAATTGTTGCTTATTTACAGTAGGTACATAGGTAATACAAACGCAATTGTATGTGTTAAACTACTGTTCCTGTTCTCGAACGTTTTTAGGTTTTTCTGGATTCTGGATATTCAAAATAATCTTAATTAAGAGAAGGTGAACAAATCGTGGACTGCTGTCATTGTAACGGGCCACCTTTTTAGTTTTTTTCCGATCTGAATTTCCTAGCCCGGACCTGAATTTCTTTCTAATTAATTGCCAGTTAGCATTAGATGAAATGATGATATATAACGAACACTCAGTGAAAAAGTGACCCCTTTCCCCTTTTTACTGCAAATTTATATTTTTCTGAATTTGGTTTCTACTTTCCTGGTTAATAGAAAATAACGATTCCACGTTATTACAGTGCCAAAGAAACCGAAGGGAAAATGGTTAACAGATTTTTTTTGGTACGAACGCAAAACAAGTTACTCTGTTACACCTTTTCCTTGTTTCCCTCCTGACGCGATTGAAAAGTGGGGGAACGATTTGACGGCTTAATTTGGAGCCATTTTTTCAGTGTATGGATAAATCAAATTTTGAGAATCCCTCCCAGCCGATTGTGTTTTGCACTAAAATCGATTCAACTTTAGAAGATCAGGTTTGAAGAGCTTAGAAAAAGCACTTCCCCGAGGTCGCACGAAATCGGTGTATCAACACCTTGTGAGGAAAATGGAGTTCAGGAGAGAATTTTTTGACGTTCGCGGGGTCAAATTTAAGTCGACTTTAATATTAACCATAGCTTAAGATCCATGGCAACAATATTGTCGCAGTTATCGTTTCCATGGGTGTCATTCCAATTCTTAAATTCAACTTAAATTTCACGGTGCAAATGGGCATTAATTTCCGACGAAGTATGAACAGTTTAAATGTGTGCATGTATTTCAGCGTGGACATCTGCAATAATGTTTAATGCTGATACCATCTAAACCTAAACGGTTTGAGATACGTGATTGTTTTGTATAGGGTGGCTAACTAAGGATGTGAGGTACTGTATGGGAACCACTCCATCGTAGAGGTTTGCGGCAAGAAAAGTTATTACTAGAATGGGCAAGAGAAAAACCTGAAAAATATTTTGAAGTTTCTAAAATGGCTGCTAGGGGACGTAACTACAATCACGAATCTAAAAAACTGATGTTTCTTTGAATTCCGCTATATTAACCTAACAAAAAACCCGCCTTTGAAGTCGAAGATAATCTGAACCTTTTTTATTTGACCATTTTTGCTGTATCTCCAAAAATGAAGTGGTGGGTGGGTATCAAAGGTGTCCGAAAAAAACACCCCGTATCTTCGAAACGACTGAGCCGATTTTAACAAACTACGGCTAGTTGAAAAGAGCTATTCTTGGGCTACAAATATTATAATATTTTTTGTTAGTTTCATATGTTTTGAGACCACCTAGATACTACACTACTATCTTCCAAAGATCATTTACTTACAACGTCTTTAAATTGTATAACTCGCTTGCGTATGAACTGAAAAGCTGTACAGTAAAACAGTTTGATAATCGTTTTAAAAATATGTTATATCTGAGTCAGTTATGATTTGGTTAGCTCCTATAGTATCACTTTGGTACCATAATCATTTCATTTCTTTTTAAATTTTATTTTTCTTAGTTTGGTTTTGATTTCATGTTTTTCGCATTCAAATTTACCCATAACCTTTATTTTTCGCTTTAGTTGGTATGGCCTGGTTATCTGTTGTCATTACAGTTCTATAATGTATAAAATGTCGCCGGTTGAGGGCTTTTTTGGACATTTGAACAGAAATGGTTTAAAATCAATTTATTGTTTTCAGATGCCATTACTGGAATTTTACTCATTTGCTGTGAATAGTTGAATACATGTTTTCTAATTACGATTCTAATACGATACAACACAAACAGGAAAGAATTTATTTACAAGAGATGTTGAAGGTGACCTCCGCTTTAAACAACAAGCGAAGCGAGACATGAACCCTTGCACAAACTTTCTTAAATAATTAGGATTTATTTCATTGCAAGCTGTAAGTACTCATCCTAATTCTTCTCTATTACGACGTTTGTATAAATTTTAGATTTCAGGTAACTACAACGAAAGAAGTCACTTGGTGACAAATCAGCTCTCTTTTTCTTGTGTAATGTTCATTAACGAGACAACCATCAACTTCAATGTCAATTGTAAAAATGATTTACATATTGACTTTTATTGAAAAACATTTAAAGGATGAAAGTAGGTAAGATTTGTTGCATATTTTAAGGGGCATTTGACATGTACATTTTAGAATTGAACAGTGCTTATTCAATGACATAGCTTTATATACAAGTAGAGTTGTATCAAAGAGTAAATTATGGTTACTCTTTGGTTGTATCTTCAGAGTTAAAATTTACGCATTGTACATACATAACCGATGTAAAAAAAATGAATGGGCGACGACGGCGGCTCCCTAACTGGATTTTTTTTACAACCCTTTTCAGTGCATCACTAAGAAATTGAAAAATACCAGGAGAAAGAAATTTCGTTCGATTTATTTGTAAACCTCGCGAAAAATCCAGTCCGAAATATGCACCTTTTTAACATTCATTCGCCCTGGTAACTTGGATAATAACAGCTAGGAACTGCTGGAGGCGAGAAAAACTCGCTTTTTATTAAACTGTTTAACAGTAAAAAATCCACGGAATATTAGTAGCCTAAAAAACTCGCCCCAGGGCAACTCATTCGGCTCATATTTCTTTATTCTCGAATATACGCGCTGATTTCTGCTTTTAAAGTTCGTTTACTTTACGCAATTCACTAGGAAAAAATCACATTAAATTTTCTAATACTGAGTGAATTTTAAAACGCTTAATAATGGACGGGCCCCGCTTAAACCCTAGAAATAATGTTTTGTTATATGCTTTAGTTTTTTGTGTGTAATTATTTTTAGAGTAAGTGATAAGTCTAAATTGTGCACAACTCTTGTGCAGATAAGCGCAATTTTTAAATCAAAATAGCATGTCCTATGTATGTATGTATGTTTACCTTCTTGGTAGATGAATAATGGGGGAGGGGATCTTTACATAGATACATTCAAATTCATCGAAATATTGCATTTTTCCTTTGTTTGTTCCTCCAACATTTTCGAGATATTAACAACTAAGTTTCTACATCGTCAGTACATGTGCTTCGTCTAGACGAAATTCGGCCCTTTGAGAGTATCTTCTTTCGACACTCCGTTCTGCAGATATTTGCATTGAAAGTTCTGACACCACCAGTAGATAGGTATATCTCGTCATGACGTTCCATTTGCCCTTTATCAGTATCCTCTTCCGACACTTGGTTTTTAAGATGTTCGCTTCGACTTTACTAATATGTCTCGTGCAGATCATTCATTTTGACTTTGTGAGTACTTTCTGCCGATAAACCGTTTCTGAGATACTTATTCGTTATATTTCTTCCACCCTCCTCCGAAAATATGTTCTTGAGAGATAAGGAATTATATTGGATTACCATAAGGTGCCAAGGAGGAGGAGGTACAAATTAATTCCTTTCGTTTGAGACGTTTTATTAGAGTATCATGACGGATAAAACCAGTTTCACTCACTCGCACCCAAGTTTTAAAAAATTTTCACTCGATTAGGATACTTTGTAATCTGGTTCGTAAAGATTAGTCAGTCGGAGATACCATTGAAATGCATAGTCGCTCCGGGACATTTTTTTAGTCAGTCTGACGTAGAGGTTTAAGACTCGGACCCTAACCTGACAGGTTCTGAGTTCGAATCCCACAATTTTCCCGTTTTTAGTGGTAGGGAACGTCTCCTGACTACCATGCTTCGGAAGGCATGTAAAGCCGTCGGTCCGGCAGTCATACAACACACAGTCACAGACGGCTGTGGATTCGACCTGAAAACGTTTGTATGGATGCATGGATATTTGTAAATGTATAGTATAGTAACCCGCCACCCACCCCACTCAAAAATAAAGGCAAAAATAAATCAAACTAAACTGTTACGAAAGTTTAATGACATTGTTGGTTATTCATAATCAGACTTAGTTCTCTAAGCTTCTCCAAAACAAGATCCACCCCACCCGCGACATCATGCAAAATTTTTCGTTCGTGATGCAGCGATCGGTCCCTTGGGTGCGCATCCCCTGCCATCCGTAAGGTTTTGGAATGCATCAAGCTGGAACGTCTAATTACATGTTTACGCACTTTACGCGAACGTTTGTCATGAAATCTTTGCAAAGTGTCATAGTATACGCCTTCCAATTCGTTCATTTTCCTTGCGAGACGTTTGATGGTTTTACCACTGCGTGTGTGCATCGTATCCTGTTCCGGATACATTTTAATTACGTAGTTATTTACGTTTCCAGTGTGCGCAGGCGCAGACGTATCACCGCCGTCGCGTAAAATAATGGTTGCTGGAGACCCTGACTTGCCACACCTTAGAGAAGCTTTAATATTTTTTTCGCAATTATAACGTGATGTTATGGTAGAGGACTGGTTTTGAGGGTATAAAATTCGTAATGATGCCACGGGCCGTGGGTGTAAGTTACAGGTATCTTCAGAATTTAGAACTATATCTTGTATTTCCACTTCAGCGGGTGCGTCCCGTAGGCACGAGACGCTTATCGTGGTCTGACCTTCAACTGCATGTAAGCTCACTTGTGGTTGCTGAACCAACTGTGGTTTGGGACATTCACATTCTGGAGGTCTCGTTGGAATGCATCTGGTAGTAGGTCCAACTGGCGTTTTAAGTTCCTTGTTTCTTTCCAAGCATGCACAATTTTTGCTGGACCGCTCAGGCTGTCGCTGCACAGGGCAAAATGTGTAATTAACAGTCGCACTGGAACAGGCACACGATATGCACTTTTCGTCCCGAGCACAATTGCACGTCCCTTCAGAACATAGTTTCGGCTTTTTTTCTGGGAAAAGGCGACTTGTAGATTTTTTAATGCTACCATTGGAAGGTTTAGATTTGAAGAAATGTCTCGAGCAACAACCTTTTCCTTGAGATTCTTCGTGAAGATATTTATTGGTTTCGACACCGGTTGCAGTACCTCGATCAGCTTCCGGAATAGACTGGGGCGTTTCAAAATTAACCTGGGAAGATTGGTGATATTTTCGACTTTGCTCATCAGTGTTGGTACTAAAGTCCTTTACTGGTTCGATCACACGCCGATCGAGGGGTTTTTCTAATTTAACGGGCGAATGATCTCGATTCACATTTGTGGCTTTGTCAAACGTCTCTGGTTTATTGCTACCGTTAATTGTTGAAGTACCGCTAGTAGTTCTAAACGGTCGGTTTTCCTTTGGAGGCCTGTTAAAGATGAAAAATCTCCGACTAGGCGTTTTTCTTGGAGGGGGGTGGGAAAATTCAAGGTCGACTTGAGACGAACGGTGTGTGCCCCGCTTTACATCTTTTTTAAACATGCAGCACGTTGTTTTTGGGTCACTATTTATAGATGATTTACTGGGACTTCGTTTAGGAGTCTCGCTGAAAGTTAGGCTAGGCCCTCTCTCTCTGTTGGTATAATCGTAATCATCATTGTATTGATCAATTGTCCCATTGTAAAGGATAGCATTACTACACAAATCACAATATCTGTATTGAGGTAAAACGGGTGGGCAGGGTAGCTGATGGGGGCAAGGTTGGTAATGCGCCCATTGCGGATATCCAGTGTTTGTCGGATTACAACAGCGCTGACACGCGCCATCTTGTAACAAGTTTAGTGGAGATGTGCTGCTTGAGATTACACTGTCAGTACGATGCCTTTTTTTGAACACGCAACAATTTCTTTCTCCCACCTCTCTTTTCTTCAAAGGTATCTTACTAGGTTTTATCGTAGGTGTCACCTGGTAATGTTTGCAACATGGTGAGCACTCAGAGTCATCTGATGAACTTGAGTGGTGCGGGCAAGTAACGTTTACAACTGTATTAAATCCATGCCCTTCATCATTTAGGTAAGTGAGCGCAGAGTTCGACCTTTTGACAGAAACCTCATACGAGGGCTTTAGTTCATCCTCGGTTGGCGCTGCGTTTGCATCTTGCTTCGTTTTATTGCCAGCACGCATGCGTTGAAAGAACGATGGTTTCTTTGGCTCAACTTTTTTTTGACTTTCTTTGGGGATTAAAGTAACAGCACTTGACTGCATTTTATTCACTGGTACTGATATGAAAACCAAATCATCGTTATCCTTTCTTTTCTTCTCTGGAGCTGGATTACAACAGTTGCATGGCGGTTCTTTAGGAGGTCTGTAGTTATTCCGGTCACTGTAGATAGGATGGCAGGAGCCATCCCGTTTATACATCATTACTTGCATGCGTTGTTTTAATGACTGACAATTGTTACATTCTCCTCTTGTTTTGTGGATATCTCCAGAATCACTTTCTTCCAAACTATCTAGTAGATTACTACCACTTTCACTGGTTGAATCTAATACATAACCCAACTTTGATCTACAGCCGTGTGGTAACCTACGTTTTCTTCTCGTGATTTTGGACTTTCTCTTTTTTGCTATATAATTGTCCACCAGTTCCTTAATAAGGTCCTGGACATTAGCAAGTGGAATGGTTTGATACAAGTGAGCATCCCCAACCTCTTTCGAGTCATGGGCAACATGATCATCTAATCTTGATCTGCCTAATAGCGATTTTGATATGGTAATACATTCAATCAAACTAGGTTTCTCCGCCAAGCTTGTATCGTCATCCAGGGCTTCACCACGATCTACCGCAGAATTGTCGTCGATTGGAAGCAAAGAATCCACGCTGAATATGATACTTAGTGGTCCTTCGTGTGGTATCTCTGGTTTGCGGTAGTCTGTGTACTTTTTGGTACAGTAAACATTAGTAGATGGCAATAATGGAACATTTGCTCTGCGTTCTCGGTGGCCTGAAAAAAATCTCGACGTTACGAACAGTTACAGTACACTGGGTGGTCGGAAGAGTACCGGTTGGTTCTCGCTCCTGACGCCGACTTTTGTGAGGGATACTGTTGGGTGTAGCTTGTGTACCAGCGTTAACCATCTCATTGCCAATGGATTCCGCCACATCGATATCTCTACTTGGGTATTCTTCATCGTTTGCCAAACTACGTCGTCCCATTGAATCGTGACCTCCATGGGATACATCGACACTTGGATTGATAGACGAGGAACTACCGGTACGGAATGAATACGTCGGATCACAACGTCTCAGGCTAATTTCATTTGCATCGAAAGCCTTTTCGGGCGCATCATTGTATGATAACGGAACAATCTGGCCGGTGTTAGTTTTGTATGACAGTTTGACCAGGCCTATGAATGCAAGCCCTTTATCTGCAGATGAGCTCCAATCTTTCTTGTCCAAGAAAACCATTTCCTCCCTTACGCAGTTTAGGTATAAGTCTGATGTGTTGAAATTGACTATTGATTTTGATTTGCTGCAAATTTTGACCATTTCATTTAGTAAATATTCACAAAAATTTTGATTCTGTCAATAGTGACATAAGGGTTACGGTTTCAAATTAGTAGTGTTTATTTATTCCAAATGGCCTGGAGCTCGTCACGTAGAAAGAGTCACCTATGCAACACACCCCATCAAACCAGGTTGGGTAAAATTACAAGGAACACAATATATCATAAAATGTGAAAAGAATCCATTGACATTACTTTCTGCTTACCTAATTACCTAAACTTTCATCTTTTAAATTTACTCCGGATTAATTAATTTCAAAAATGTCACAACAACAGTTCGCTTTTGACCCTTACATTTCCATTAATGAAATGTAAATGAATTTCTGAATAATAAAGAGAGCCCCTCAATTTCGTTTCTTTCCCATTCCGGTTACATTTAAGTTTAATTAAACAAACTAAAAGCAGTTTCGTAGTTGCAGAGCAATCACCAAAATATGGTATGCATATTTATCGCAACGTCCCCTGTTGAAGTTACATACGTGCCGTATTTACATTTACGGTCACGTGTGTGTTCTGCGCTGAATTATATTAGGTAACTCCAGGTGCATATTTGATCTAGTCGAAAGCTTAGGTCCAGTAAGTGCGGGTGCGCTCATCTAAAAGGGAGATGCTTGCTGCTTCTGACCTTTAAATTGTCTGCGTCGTTCCAATAAAATATTCAAGTTGAGAACTCAAAAGATGCTACATACGCTTTGAGTGGATACGAACTATACAGTTTCGTCCTCTTTTTCTAACCTTTCCAAATTCTAAATATATATTAAATTTACATTTTGTTTACATAATTCCTTTCGGTTTTTTAGATTCGCCAAAAAGTTTCGGATGGATTTGCAAGCCCTTTCGCACATTAGACTACGAAGCTCCGGAAAACGCTACATCGCACTCAATTTTTGAAATCCTAACGTCGTTATAAAGTTGTTACTGTCTTTGTAAATTGAAAATAAGAGTTCTTTCGGTTTAAATTTAGGTCACAACTCATCGTCTCCTCATTATTACCTCAAAGGTAGAAGGAAAATGATGAACCGTAGGCGATAAAGTGAAATTACACTTAAAAATGCAACCCTATACGATCTAGCTAGCGCGCTGAAAGAATTATTTGACTAAGAAAATGAATTTTAAAGGCGCCCCTAGGTCATCATTTAACATAGAAATGTTATATCGTGGAGAGTTGTGAAAGTATTACGACAAAGATACTAAAAACCTCAAGTAACACCGCTTTTTGGTAACAATCCCAGATCGACAACAAAAATGTCTTCGTGTAGCAAAAATTATTGAACTGATGTCGGGATAAACTTGACAATAGATCAATATTGATATGTAACCCAAAATTTCAATACCTTTCCGGCAGTCTCAATAGTCTATTTTAATTACTTCAATCATCACATGTTTTTTTAGATTCTTCTTCGTATGCTAGTAGCTTTTCCTTATTCTTTAAAGTCTTTCGTTTCTTTAGGATTCTTTAAAATCCTTTCTTCCGATACTCCCCATTTTTGGGTATTGGAACCTTTAGGTTTCTCGGGTTCTTCGGATTTAGGATTAATTAGATTCTATAGTTTTTAGGGGACTTTTTTTCTCATTAAAAAAATATATGCTCGTTTTGTCCGTACCTCTGTTTGGATATTCAAAGTCTAACACGGGAACGCAAATAACTATGAATTTCACGCCTCCTGAAAATTATATTCAATTCCTTACACGCTGTTTAATTTTTTTAAGTTTTTTACGATTTTAGCGATTCTAAAAGCTCTTCGTTTCAGAATAATCAATTCTTTAGTCTAACAAAGTTTACAATATTGTAACGAAGAACCCGTTTCCAGCCTTGAAGTTTTATACCCGAAGTTGTGACCACACTGTATACTTGTGGACCCGACCGGCTTCCACACGCATTTTTAGTTGCGCACGTTACTAAGATGATCGCTTTCAATTTTCTAATGGTATACAAAAACCCAGCATTAAACAGGTTGTGCAGACCCCGCCGTTTGATCCAACATTCTAAAGAAAAAAGGGCATTGAGCGACAGTAATTTGGTGATTTCATTCCGACTATTTGAATAAGTATAATTATCCGTAATTTGTTGAATACGTATACGTTACATAGAACAGCCTCGGATTAAGTCCAGATTACATCTGTGCGCTTTTAAAAACTTCAATTTTGACACCGATCCCGTATTTTTAAGACATCTGGGAACGTCTGGGAAGGACGTAAATAACTAAAAACAGTTTTCGAGCATTATCGCAAGGACACACCGTCGAGATGGAAAAACCGTCGGTCCTCCCCATGGCATAGCCGAATTTTGTATATGTGAACGTTTAATTCAGAGGGGATATTTTGCATTTTTTGGTGTTTTACCAAAACGTAAGTTTTTCATCTTTTTTGATTTCTGCCTTTTGCATCTATCTTTTCCAACTACGTTTTGTAAGTACCGTCATTTTGAGCTTTTCCGTAAATTTATTTTGCATTCAGCCGTTTAAATTTTGCTTTTACATTAAGTGTACCGCTTTTTCTTGCACAGTAATTTCTACCACTCCGTTTCATTACAAGGTAAGCTTTTTGCTACTTTCCGTTAGATTAATTATATGCTGTTGGGGGGGGGGGGATATTTTCTCGCTTTCCTGCATTTGCTTTCCCGTAGAAACCGAGGAAAGGTGTCAACTGGGGATAAAGACGACTAATACGAAACTTATATATAAAACAAAAAGTAAACATCAGGGTCGGAAGTAAAAAGACGGATTGGTTTGATATCGGAAGAGGAGTTAGGCAGGGATGTTGTTTATCACCAACTCCGTTTAATTTATATGTAGAGCACATGTTGAATATGTTGAAAAGGGGAAAATATAGTATGCACATCGCAGGGAAGAAGATTGTTAGTATACGATTTGCGGATGACATGGTTGTATTTGCTGAGAGTGAAAAAGAAGTCGAGATACTGTTAGAAAAGATAGATAAACTGAAAACAGAGTATGGCCTAAGAATTAACAAAACAAAAATAATGAAAGTGGGAGTGCAGGAGGATATTATATGCAGTAAGATAGAAATTCATAAGAAAGAGATTGGTAAAATGTTTTGTATGGTTTGTTCAAATGTATGGTAGTGAAACGTGAAACGACAGCAATGGAAAGAGATCAGGAAAGGTTGGAAGCTTTTGAAATGTGGAAAAGTGTAGAAGTATTAAGTAAAATTGGAGAAGAAATATGTATGTTCAAGATCATAAAGAGTAGCAAAATAAACCGGATTCGACACGTACTAAGAAAGAATAGGTAGTTGGTTGAAGGAAGTAATCAAGCGAACTGAGAGAAAAAGAGGAAGGGTAATAACCTGAAGGAGGGAGAAGAAGGATAAATGAAGGAGTAAAGAAGAAGAGCAGATGATAGAAACGAGTCGCGGAGAAGAGCCATCAGGGACCTGCACGAGCAGAAAACTAATGATGAACACCATAACGCCGAGAGCTGAAACTTTTACTTTTTCGTAAGGAAAAGTATTGGTTTATCCCAAATAAAGTGTTTTTCCATTTCTTCTTGAGAAATACATAAAATCCTATTACGAGGTCGTTGTCGGACTTTTTCTTGTTAGCCTCTTCTACAAAAACCTTTCACAACTAAATATTGTTTACGGTGTTTTGTAGATGAACACTAATGATTTTGGGGTCATTCCTCTTTGAAATACTTGAACTTTTCGAAAAAATGAAGAAAAACCTACTCCCACTCTCTGAAATTGTAATCGCGCATTTTTCTAATAACAGCAGTTGTCAAATTTTCAGGGGGGAGGACAGAATGACTAATCCGATCCGCCGGCCGTTGGGGTTAAAACGAATATCTTGAAAACCAAGTGCCGGGAGAGGTACTCACAAAGCAAAATTGGTAAATGTCGATAAGACACACTCGTCAGTGGAGCCAAAGCTTCAACTGAGAATAACTCAAAAATGACGTGACGTGAAGAGGATACTTACAAATGATACATGCTTTATACCAAAGATAATACTACATATCTATGTTCACACTAACGTATTAATGATTAGTGATACTTAGGGTTTTTTTGTACCGATTGGTATAGCAAAAATTTTGTTTTCAGTTCTCCCCACTGGATTTTCTGACCATTAGTGTAATACTGCTTCATAATTGCTGATTTAAAGCAACGTTGTAACTCCAATAACTGAAATAGTTTAGCCATCTCTGGGATGATAGCGAACAATGCAGAGGTATCACAAAAAATAACACTCATTCTTCATTTACAAACTGAGGTGAGCTCTATTTTGGGGGTTGGATTACTTCACACTACACGGTTTTGTACACGTTATTCAAAGTTGGCTTGCAAAGTGTACTCAACTAATTTTTAGATACAATTACAGTTTTTGTATGCTATGTGTGGTTAAAGTATTCTGCCGCTCAATTTGTTACACCATTTACACAGAACATCTGTTGCATTTATATTTACCTTTCCGACATTTCATTCAATTATAATATAATTAAATTCGTTTCTGTTTGACAAATAAATATTTCGTGATTGATGCCGAAACTAATTATTCACATAAATATTACGATAGCCGACAGGCGTCAGACACGCTTTAATGTTGCGGCCAAGCGTTTTAAGTGTAGACAAATTGAAGTTTGGTTTATGTTTATTTAGACAGACGAGATGGATATGGATCTAAAGAATCAAAATCGAAGTATTTTTTTGCAAACGAATTGACAATCTTTATTAGACCTGACGCGATTGAAAGATTCTATCTATTCAACTATTTTTGGCATTTGGTCAAGGGTCCACAATGAACAGTTTTAGTTAGTCCTTAGTATAAGTTTTTCCTTCGTATCGGGTTTGAGAAAAAAAGCCAAATAAAAAAACGTTATTTTTAACGGATTATCCATTAAATACGGGTATTCAATTTTGTTGGGAAATCCTTCCTATTTTTAAACATTTGCTCCAGTGTTTTAGTGTCTTAGAAAAAGAGAAACTTTAGGAAATTTCTCAAAATATAAGTACAAAAATGACTCAAACTTATTTGCCAAGATTATTTATTGGTTGAATAATGGACAATTTTTTTACCTATAGCAAGCGTTACTGTCATAGTGGTAGGGATACTCGTAGGCTACAAAACCAGCATTTTAACGTAAGGACTCAAAATTATATATTAGAAGACACCTTAACGTCATTGCTTGTATTCTGTTTCCTGATTGCATTGATGTATTATTACATTTACAATTAAAATTTATCAGG